ATATATATAGATAGATAGATAGATAGATATAGGGTTTATTAAATTGTAGTGTTATATTTATTATAACCCATGTTGAAAAGAAAAATTTAATAAATAATAAGTAATATAAAGTATAAAAATAGACTTGTTTTTTTTTATAAATAAGTTACTAATAACATAAACTAAATATAAGAAAAGTGAAATATGTATAAAATTAAATAATATTTTTAGTTAATTTTAATAATAAATATAAGTAGCATTTAAACTTTTGTTTATATTGTATGAAATTTTACTAATATGAATAAATAGTAAATTTATGTAATTTTATATTTTTAAAGAATTAAAAATATATATATATGCGTAGTTGGTTAAAATTAAATATAAAATAATTTAATTATAAAAAATATGTAAATGAGTTATATTGATTATATTTGTGATTATTTGAATAACTTAGAGGAATCTAAAATATTTAAAAATATAATGAAAGAATTTAATATTTTAAAATTTAATTTTATATAATAATGTATGTTTCTAGTAATTAGAGATGTTGGTAATGATGTTGAAAATCTTGAATGTTAAAATTTATTATATTTAATTTAGAGTATTGGTATGATTAAAAATAAATATAAATATTAAAAATAGGATTTTTGGTTTTAATTGTATAAATACGATGTAAATATTTATTTGTCAAAAATGAGGAAATCTTAAGTTTTTTTAAAAGAGGTTGATATTTTGGTTATAATAATGACATTAAATTAATTAATAGAAATAAAAAATGAAAATGTAATTGATAAATTTTGTTGTATTTAAATTGAGATTAGTTAAAAGATTAATTTTTGCAAATAAATTCATAAACTTGGTAAATATTATATAATTTTTATAGATGAATTATTAGTAATATAATTTAATTAAGATTTATATTATATTAGAAATGTCTCGTAGAGGAATCAATTATGTGCTAAATAGTGACGAGGAGGAGGAAGTTATTGTTCGCTTAGAGGAAGAATTGACACATGAGCAATTAATCTCTTAATGGAGAAGGATTAGGGCAGCTGAGGAAGTTGCTAAAGCTACAGAAGAAGAGTCATTGTCTTTGTTGTCACCTCCAACACCGAAACTTGGAGATGACAATGATGAGGACACATTTAGGTCATGTAATAAACGTAATTAGTAGACTGGAATGCGGCGTTCCCAAACTGGAATGGACCATTCCAAACTACTAAATGCGCCTATAAATCCTAGTTGAGAACGGGTCATTCCAAACATGATCGTTGTGAGTTAAACTCAACTCCAGAACGGGCCGTTCTGGTTTAAGAACAGGTTGTTCTAGATGTGAGTTTTACACATGATGAAAGAGTGCAGAACGGGTCGTTCCGAATCCAAAATGGGTCGTTCTGGCCACTCCAGGCTTCTATAAATAGGCCACATGCATGCAGTTGAGGAGAAAAAAAAAGGAACTTAGAGAGAGGTTTTAGAGAGAAGGACTCTAGGCTAGGAAGCTTGATTTTGAAGGATTGAAGTTCGGGAGTCGAGCTCGGAGGAAAGTTTTTCTTCTTCCCAAATTCTTGGCTATTCGAAGCCAATCTTCAGGTAAGAAAAGCTAGATTATAGATTTGTTGGTTGTATGGGAGTTGAGAACTCATTTGGTGCATGAATGTTGAGAAATCAGTGGTTGGATTGATGAACATCTCATTTTTCGGGGTTTTGAGAAAAATAGGGTTTTTGATGATTTTGATGCCTTGAGAAGTTGCATGTTGAATCTGAGGTTGTTTTTGAGTTGTATGAAGCCTATGGGTTATGTTTTATGGATTGCATGTGGCTAGAACTCCAGATATGGCTGTTTTAGTGAATAGGGGTCAAACTGCCAGCATTGGTTATAGTTGTT